ACCATTAAAGCCCCCATACTCGCCAATGGAGAGTACTTCTCTCTTCCCCAGAATGCTCACACCCATCTCCAGCTTCGCTGGTACACTGGGCCTTAGCCATCAGAGTAGAGTGCACCTCCAGAGGCCTGAGTGGAGAATTCCACACTGTCTAGGTCCCAGCGATCCCCCTTCAGAAAAACACATCTGCAGCCAGGTCATGCAAAACATGTGGAAACTGAAAATCTGCATGGTGGGCTACCCTGAATCCTGAGTCCCCAAAGTTCTTGCTGTGCAAAAACTTTTTCAATCCGTTTTCGATCCAAAGGAAATGCTTACAGATAGTTGGCAACAGAAACGCAGATTTCGCAATCCTTGTAGGTTTTCTGCTTAAATGATCCAATTCTGCAGACAGTACAAAAAGAAAAAAAATGACTGCACAAGGCAAAAAGAGAACTAAGAGGTTTTGCATTAAAACAAGTGGTGTCCTGGTTTGCATTTCAAAGGCTAGAAAAGTGCTTAGAACTCTCATTCCTCCCATTCAAATCATAGTCCAGACAGTACAGCATGACTCATAAGCACCTAAAACAAATGTAACAAAAAGAATAAGGCCAGGTTATTAATTTAATAATTATAATAATAATAATAGCTTACACACTTATACAGCCCTTTTCTGGACAATCCACTCAAAGCGCTTTACAGGTAATGGGGACTCCCCTCCACCACCACCAGTGTGCAGCCCCACCTGGGCCATAGTGCGCCAGAACGCTCACCACACATCAGCTATTAGTGGGGAGGAGAGCAGAGTACTGTAGCCATTTAATGTAATTTAATTAACCATATTCTTATATATGTTTTTGTTTTAAATTTAAAGGTTTAGTAAATCATATTTTCTTAAATGATAATTACAATGTGCGACATGGTGATGCTGTGGTTAGCATTGCTGTCTCACAGCATAGATAGATAGAGCACTATCTGTCAATTATAGTCTTCTGAACTGACTAGAGCTTCAGTTGTTCATGACACTTCTCATAAAAAATACTGCCCGCTACAATATTGTCCCATCTTAAAACCACAGCAAGGCATTTATTAGCGAAGTATTTGAAAGTATTTTAAAGGCAGGCATTACTGAAAAGCGCTAATTATGTTTTTCTGTACTTCTGCTCCTAATTTCATACACCACACGTTTCATGGGGACGTGCAAGCTACGTCGAGCATTTAATATTTCTTATAGAACACTGCCCTCTGGTGGCGAGCTTGTGGTAAGACGCAAGCGAACCAATTAAAATAGTTAAGGCAAAGCCAACAACAGAAAAGGCAATTCAATTCAAACCATTAATCACATTCATTTTTAAGTTAAGTAAGTGAGAACTTAGCTTATATTAAACCCAGGAGACACAGGGTTCCTTTAGGATCAGGGTTAATAAATCCTGCCTTAGGAAGTTTTCTGTGCCAGAGGAGTTCACTTATGGATAGCGATGGTCATGGACTCAGTACGAACGAGTATAGAAGATTGATTTTGTTTCCCATGTTTGTATGAGTCACTCTGACCCACGTCTGTAAACATCTGGAAATAACAGTAGTGGACTGTTGTGACTTATGGTAAATAAATGTGTTTTTAAGTATGCCGCCTGGTTATTACTTCGTTACCAAGCTGTGTCGGATAAATGAAAACTCGGGTCATGTAAAGCAGCAACCCATGACAACAGGGGGTGTGAAATTGTTAGTATTGATAAATTAGTGTCAGGACCCACTTTGATGGACATTTCTTACTGCATAATTTAATCCCTAAATTCTGGATGTCTATGCAAACTTTTCACTTTGCCCTGTGAAATTAATTTGTAATACGTCAACTCAATCTTTGACTCACTTGACTTCCTAAAAACATTTAGAGCTAAGTTGTCCATATTCTTATTAACTTATTGTTGGACGTAACCTTTCAATTCAGGTTATTTACTAATGGCTATATACCTTACGGTTCCAGTTTTCCCCGATTCAAAAATGACTCGAATGACCGATGTTCATGGCTTTATCTTAGTTTAACAATGTAAGAAGAAAGTAAATAGTTACAGAAACAGGTTCACTTTCCATCTTTAAGGAATATATTAACCTAGCCTCCTTTGTCCTGTTAAATATTGTATGCATACTTAATTCCTGTATAAACAACAAAATCAGATTACTGCAAGAGAGTCATGAAATTATGCACAGCAGGAGATCGATTCTAGAGACGTCAAAGCTCTTAAAAATAACTTCTTAAAACATCCTCTTAAAAAGTAACCCCTCTCTTTCAGATCATCTTGAAATTAATCCAGTGGAAATGATTAAATCATTATCACCTACTCCTGTCTTGATTCTGTAAAACATCAGTTAAAATAATGCCTTTGACATGCCCATAAATAAGACTCTACCTTTCCTGAATAAAACCATGTCCAAATTCTAACTTGATCCTAGGTACAGCATTGGAGACCTGCTGCCTGTTCACTAAGAAACCACTCTCAAATTATTAAAATTAATTAATTAATAATTCTCAAATTATAACAGTCCCATTCCAGAGGGAGAGAAGTCAAGAGGTCGCATTCACATGAAACAACAGCACCTGGTAGCTTATGGGATCACAAAACACGAAAGACAATATTGCCAAAACTAACTACTGCCTGCATGTTCCCATTTTCAAATGAGAAGAAAACCAATGCTATATACACCATGATTTTTTGTAAAGCAAACAAGAAGTATATTAGTTACAATTAGAACAGAATGTTAGCTTGCTATCACAACACCTGCAAATCTTGACAATGCAACCAAGAAGTCAGCAATAAACATATCCCTCATCTCTGCAAGAACATCAGAATGACCTAGTTAAGTTAGAATTGTGTAAATGGCACTGGCGAAAGTGAGAAAGCTAGAAATAAATGTTCTTAAAATAGCACAGAGCATCCTGCTACACCAATCTATATCAATCCAGCTTGAACCTGGTTCATGGAGCTCAAATAAAGGACTATTGCCTTTTGCTTCATGAGGGACAATTAGTAATAAAACAGTGTAGAATGTAGATTCTACAATATTTGGCAATTTCAAACTTTCACCATTGATGAAGAAAATAAACT